ACCTAACATCTATACCTTTCTTGTTTCATCCTTAATGTGTGATGACCAGCCTCACTAAAGAAGAATGGATTCTGGAGATCCGGCTTCACTTCTCTAAAAACTGCCAAGGTGATCCCGGACTGCCTATCCCACACAAAGAACTCTACCTCTCCAACCTTGCCACACACAAACAAGACAACATAAGCATTTCGCTTTATCATTCTGGTATACTCCTTAGAGTAAAACACTTTTCCATTCTTTACAATTCGTAGCACTTTAAATTTGTTGCCTCCACTGACTTCCTCATCAATCATCTCCATTATCTCCTGTGGTAGCCCTACCAATTTCTTGGCCCCTCCAGCAATGAAGCAATTCTCTGCCTTCTTAAGATTTTTAACTCTAATACATGAAAGGAAAAAATAAGTAGATTGATATATTTAGTAATTGCGGGGTGTCTTTCAAGTATAAAAGAAGTTGTCTGTAGTGTAAAAAAGCTAATTCAGATGATGATGATAATGATTTCTATCAATATTACTAAAACTGTAGTAAAAAATCAGACAAGTACACTTAAAGCAAAATATCACTTACTCTCTTTTGGTGTTCAGCATTCTTTTGACAAAATCCTTGACCACACCATTTTCCAACATATCTACCTCACATCTTAAGCGACTCTGTGCATGAAGCATCCATACAACCTAGTAACAAATTCAAAATTGCACATTTGATGCTAGTAGTTCATTTTTCCAAATGGAGTTGTAAAAGTAAGTTCTTCATTTACTTGATTTAAATCATAACGGTTTTTGAGTTGGAAAAGTAAGTTCTTCATTATACTCTATTTAAATTTATAACAGTTGAATTATACAGAGGAAACCTATTAGCTGTTTGGACACCAGGGGTCAAGGGAATTGAGCCATACTAACAGGGTTAAGGGCAAATATCTTAACTGGTTCTGACATATACTTTTGCATTTTTAAATAACTAAATTATTCAATAAACATCTGGAATACAGAAACTTTATGTGCAGACAATATTAACCAAGGGAACTTTGTTGAACATAACTGAATTCTATAATTAAAACAATAACAAACTTGGCTATACATATTCTTCTCAAAAACAATAGTCATGACTTAACTTCATGTTACATTAGTTAAACATTGTTTTTCAGGAATTATATTTGTTTTGTTTGGACAACGAAATTGACCATAACAACAAGGAACCATATAAATGAGGTGACCTGATAAGGTGGGGTGGTGTTAAGGTGTAACTGTTGTGGGGTTGCTAAAAGTACCTGTCTACAAACATTTCCTGTGCCATGTGTCAAGTCCATAATGGTTCCATTCATGTCTTCAAACCCAAAGGTGGACCATGCCCACAGTGGACCCCATCCTTCCACATAGTCAGCTAGATGGGCACCAGTGTTGTGAACATTGAGACCACAACTGCCATTACCTTTAAATGTGGGGGAAAACACACTATTTATAGCCATGCACTTTTGTTGACCATCAGTCAATGGGTGAATTCACCCTAAGAACATACTTTACCATAGCTTTGGTTTTTTCTATTTAACAATTATTCGCCGAATGCAAGGTGAATATCATCTAATAATCCCTGAGACGAAGTCGAGGGGATTATTCGACAATATTCCCCGAACCTGAGGTGAATAATTGTTTTAGTATAATTTCAGAGCTGAACAAAAGAGAAATTTCTAAAATCATAACATTTTAGTAACACTTACTAGCATTTTTTTTAACATTTTATATAAACCGCGTGGAGGGATTTATACAGCGTCATTAAGGAACCACTCAACCAATCCGATTGCTGGAAACTCTTTGCTCAGCTCTGAAATTATACTAATATTACCCATACAGACAGAGGCATAACATCATCAACCCATCAGGATAAAAAAACTCCCCAAAAACTCATCAGAGCCACAAACCAATTTCGTCTTTGTGGAGTAGCAATGCAACAAGAATAATTGATTTTCTGTCATTTCTTTTAACAAAAATAAACAAGAAAAGCCCCAGAGGTATTATTAGTATCCAATCTGCTATTTCTCCTCTTTGATTGAAATATACATTATTGTCACTCAAGATATTTGACAGTGGTTTAAGAATGTTTGTTTGGTAGAGTGAGACAAGTCTAGTACAATTGACCTAGAAAAAAAAAGATAACAACAATATAAAGTACATAGAAAACTGGTATTGGCAGGTGTAAAATCCTTAGTGAGCCTACAGTGTAATGGTAATAATATGAAATCAGGCACTGGATGTAGAGTTCAGACTGTCACTGAGTTTTCTTACCATACAATTCTTGAAAATCCTTGTAGAATGTCTGTAGGAGATCTCGAGCTCTTGCAATCTGTGCTGGTGTTATTCCATCACCAAGAAGAATATAAACCCCCTCTGCCAAATGTGCAAAGTGGCACAGGTACTTATCAGGAAGGTAACCAACCAAGCATGGAAGTGAATAGTACAGCAACCAAGACTGCAACTCTGAAGCTTAAAAAAAAAGTTTGTTAGAGCTTAATGTTACCTCCCTGTATCATCGAGCCACTGTTCCATTAAAGTACACACCTTTCAAGTTCTTAAAATGTTTCTCCATGTCTCTCGGTAGACGTGTCAAGAAGTCTGGGGGTCTCATCTTGAGAATGCGTTTATTGATACTTTTAACCTGCAATTGATTCAGTGTTAGTCACACCATATTTCTTGCAAACAGTACGTACAAATGATAACCAACAATTCTATTATGTGAATCTAGTATAACATGTTTTCACAACAACACAGTTACACTAAACACCCTGTCACACGTGTACATGTATATTGACCATGATTACTCTGTTAACAAATGAAACACTCAAATCTTAACTTAGCTGTGACAGTCTACATATTTTCTATAACCTGCAGTTATAATTTAATTATTAGTACCTGTCCTCCAATAAAGTATGGCTTCTTGTAATTAGTTGCTGAGAACCATTTGTACAGAAGGGTCTTTGTAACACCCAATAAGCAGCCATGCATATAGTCAGGAACCATACCCAATACTACATCAAACCAAGGCATCATTGCAAGGCTAGTGACATCATAGACACCTACAACCTAACAATCAGCACCAGTAATAATCAGTGGTAGCAAAACAACAACAACAGCAATAGGAAACTTAACAGATGACACAGGATTAACTACTGTTTTAGTCCTATTCCCCTGTATATTTCCTAAAAAAAGGACTGGTATTTGTACATTTTCAGGTGGTGTCTTAAATGGCAAGCTTTAATGTATTGTCTTTACATGAAGCTCAAGTGTATCACTATAAAGCAGTGTAACATGACAATCATTTTAACCTTTTTATTCTCTCTGTTTCCAGAGAGACCATTCCTTAAAAAACTCTCATGGGTACGCTTTGAGACTGCTTCAGTGGGAGTCCGGTAGGGATAGCAACGTGTATGCCCTTTTCCTTGTTTAACCACAACACCAGGTTCTTCACAGGTGAGACAACCAAATTGTCCATTGTGCTGTGCCATACAAGTGAGATATGCTTTGCCCTGCAAATCAGTGGACCCCAGAATTACTGCAGCTTTAATAGTGATTGGCAGCTCCTCACAATCTGGTTTCACCTGAAGACCTGCATGATAAATAACAACAAGGAATTGCAAAGTAGAAAGGAATCATTTTAAGGAAGCTCATAAATAGAGCTTTTGGTCATGTGTGCAGGACTAACGTATAAATTGCCCAAGATGTCACATAGAAAGAAACATAATCAAGATTTCAAGTGAAAAACTGGAAATAAAAGGTGAAAGTTAATCTGTCACTTTTTTAAATACAATTTTGCTCAATAACCTTTGCTTAATTTTTCATACATGGCTCCAGATGAGGAATACCTGAATACTAATACACATAACATATTGCACTCACCAGGGACATAGTAATTTATTGTTGTTGAGAAGTTGAATCTATATGCACATTGTATATGGCCTCACACTGCCATCCTACAGTCCTAAGCTCACACATCTCAGTAATCATGTTACAGTACATGTATAATCATTTTTTTACCTTACCTTCGTCATACAAATGAACCATCTCAGATGCAAAAGGTTCAAAGTAAACATGAAATGGTGGTTTGCCTTTACCCTGCCAAATTCCCCACATTAACATGTTCTGTTTGGAAAACCTGATATGAATCAGAAAGGTACAGAACGCATTGTTGATTTACATGCATTATACACTCATTATTATTATATTCTATGGAAACTGTTAAATTCTATATTTTAAAATTATTATTATTATTATTTCAGTCACACCTATGTGAGGCAACCTTTACCCATTTAACACCAGATACTGAATAAAAGCATGATATGTAGTAAGGAATATTGCATGGTCTTTTCAATAGCATTGTTAGAAAGGGAAAATCTGGAAATTATGCACTAACATTCAAGGTTATGTCAACAAGGGAACATTTTTATGAGCCCAAAAATCAGTCTTGGTTTAATAATAAATGGATCCACAATCCTCAGTACTACACACTAACAATACCTTAGACCTTAGGCAAAACTAGATTTTTAAAATATGCATTTTTCTGGTTGGGCTTTGGGCGTGTAAGCATGCATACCACATACTATGTAATTGTAAAAGGTCTTCCAAACATTTACTTTCTTGCTTATAGTTGTTTGGGGCTGTTTTCTTAGTGGAACTTGCAAACAGCAAACTAACCTTTCTGGTGATGACAGTTCATTGATAGCAAGGAAAACTGGCCATAAAGAAACACTGGAGGATGAATACAGAGGTGCACCATCTGTATTGAAAATGAAGCTAATATTGAGCTTGCTATGTAGAAATTGGCCCTCTTTGCACAGTGCCATGTAGAACTTGCCATCTAGTATGTCTGTTAAAATTGATTGACCACGGCGTTTTATTCTTTCTTGAATGGTGAACCATACCTCTTTGCCTAGGATGGAATTTAATTACCCTATAAGAAGATGTCACATCCAATCTCCAATATTTAGCAAGTGTGAGTATTGTTTTCAATTTCTACTATCTTTGTTTATAAGCACTTAAAAACTTACGAAGCAAAAGATCCTTCAGTTGGTTTTTGATATTAACTGTGACAAAACTGTTTTTGTGCTCCTTTTTTCCTTGCTGGGATTCACTTCCTTTGTATCTGAGACTTAAGGAAAAAAAAGAAGACAATCAACACAAAGCAAGGGCGTTTAAAGTCCACATGAAGAAAGGCATAACAGATTCCTAAATTTTTCAATACTCCACCTCTACTCATTCAGTACCTCTAAATGTAGATTTGTTCTTTAAACTTACCCCACACAGCCTGATGTGGAACAACGAAAGCTGTTTTCATCATCCAAGGGAAACAGCCTGTGACATACTTCGCAAATGTCATACACGTGGAACTCACATTGTCCGCACACTTCTTGAACTTTTCTGTAATTGAGAGACTTGAAAGTTACACTTTCGGGACAAGTCACTTTAACCAAATCGATTAAATCCTTCGCAGCTTCATTTGTCATACAGTGTCTTGAAACATAGGCCAAAACTGCCTTGCATGCTTTTTCATCGTGAGTGAACAACCCAGAATCAACATTGACAGTATCGTCATCATCTTGTTCATCTTCATCTGATGAATAACACTGGCCTTCAAATTCACCCTCATCAGACTCAGAAGTCACTAAACAAGAGTCTTCGCTGGAAGAAATCTCACTGCACTCACTATCCCTCTCTCCACTAAGTGTTTCATTTAACCTCGTGTCTTTGTTGTCAACACCCCTTTCCAAGCTCGGGAATGCTTCGGACTGTGCATATCTATTGGAAGGCGAGAATTCCAACGCACCTCTGTAATCGCATATAGTCGCTTCTATCTCCTGTGCAAGTATTTCTTCGCTGTGGGACACACTTGATACTGTTGGAACCACTGCTACTTTAGTGGAATCGATAGACTCAGGAATCGTGCTGGCCGTGTTAGCACATGTTGCTGAACGCTTGTTACGGTCAGACTTCGTTGATTTAGGCACTGGTACACTGGGATCTTCGAGGTATCTCTTGTACTTCCTAATGTGGTATCCTTCTGTTATAAAAATGAGGGCAAAACACAATTTGTAATCAATGATAATAACAATCTGTTTTTTGGCTTGTGTTATTTCTCACCTTTGCCGTGAACACAACTCAAGTGGGTTTCGAGTCTTTGTTTCCTCGACAGCTTTCGGCCACAAATCGTGCATTTGAAGTATGTTCGATTTTTGTCGATTATTTCAACGTGGAGGGAGTTATCATTATTTATAACATCGTCAGCACGTGGACTCAAGGTATCCATCACTCCAGAGCACGTCAGAGAGCTGTTCAGGTCAGAGAGTCGTCAGAGAGATGGTGACCGATGACCAGCAGTTTGGCGCGGAAACTGCAGTCGCACAAGCCAGCAGATTCTTTGCTAGCCAATGACCATTCCCAAAAGACGCACGTGATCATACTCATGATCGGAAACAAAGAAATCTCCATTTCGCGCTCATCTTTGAATGTTTTTTTTCATAGGTTAATTGTGATCGCTCGTGCGTTATACAATTTTTTTCCCAACTATTGCTAAAGATGGTCTTTATCGTGGTTCAATGGCAGAACGAGAATAGCGTGAGTGTTGTTAACGAAAAACAAGTGGTTGGCGCCGTCGACCTGAAAGAAGGTACAACCGTTGATATATCGACCGGCACCAACAAAGGTCGCGTGGCCATTTACAAGGCTACCATTTTGAAAGTTTGCGGTGAGTACATATTGCGATATTCGGTACGTGATCAAAATCTTACCAAAGAATAGACATGTAACGTCTTCAATTAAGCATACACAACACTTAAAGCTCGACCCAACCGAAACTCGAATGATTCTGTGAATCGCACCCGTCACTTGCATGCCGCAGTTCTTATACTCACACTTTACAATGAAATAAATCCTTCAGTAAGGTTTCAGGATTATTTTAATCACGTTTGGGAACAATCTGATCCTGCCTTATCCTGCCTAATGCTTTGAAAAAATTCAACTTTTTGCATTATTAATTAAGGCGGGATTTAGTCAAAAAGGTGAATGCATTAAGGGTAATCGCGTGATTGGCGGGAAAACCAACTAATGAATTTTATTCTTGGATTTTTATCAGCGACAAAGGCACAGGCCCTTGAGATTGAGAAAAGTCTCCTGACACCCGCAGCTGCGGAGACTACAGGTAATATCGAAAGCTTTCATTGAGTGGAAATAGGGGATTTAGTAAAACTGTCTCCCAGAAGAGGCAAAGCTACATGTTGTTTAGCTGAGTGTAACAGTAGAATTCCGATCTTCATCCGATCTTTTCAATACTATGAAAAAAGTCATATGCAGTCCTCAACCATCTATTTCTTACAATAGTACCCATGTTGTAGTCATCATATGGTTGCCATGTTTGCAGGAGATGAGAAAAGGAAGAGACCGAGGAAGCCTTCACAGAAAGTGAAGGAGAATGTTGAAGGAGGTCAGGCTTAACAATTAGCCCCAGTAATTTATAGATTTTCATTTTAAAAAATTTATATTGTCTTTGTCTATGGCTCACTTTGATCTTAGATTGTAAATGTTACCATGAATGAATACGAACCCTAACCCCAACCCACAGCAAAACAGCTCATTGTAAAACTAGGGATAGTTTTCACTAACATTTGCTCTAACTGTTGAATGTTGGCTGTTGAGGAGGGGCTGAGGAAGGATGTCAAAAATCAAGAAATTAAAAATTTTTTAAAACAGATAAATCATTAAGAAAACCAGCATTTGCTGTGATTCAGTGCTTCCATGATGTACCCATAAAATCATTGGCTAAATCACTTAGAAAAGCCAGCCACTTTTTCCAAAAATGTAAGAAAGTAAAAGAAATGTAAAAATGATTGGCTACTTTAGTCAAACCAGCTACCTAATTCAAATTTTATTGAAACCCATGCCTGACTCAAAATAATCTAATTACAATTGAATTTATATACTCAGATGAAGGAAAAGATCAAGAAGATGTGGATAATGATACAGGTAATGGTCTCTTAGTTTTCAATAGTTTTATGAGAAATGTTAACAAGATGGATACTTTGTCTTAGTGGGATTTTTGTCTTTGCTTTTAGTTTCTATTCTTGTCTTTAATTTATTGTCACTGATATAATTCTAAATTCCATGAAATTTCTTTGTTCCAGATCAGTTTTCACAAAAGAAGAGGAGAATGAACAAGAAAGGCAAAGGTAACTTTAGAATTGCAAGCTCGCTGTATATTCTCAAGTTCGCATCCTCAGTATATTTTTTGAGAGGGCATTTGCTAGAATCCAATTCCAAAAATAGATCCATCTAAAGGAGGTAATTTCTGTCAATCCCACTACTGTAGATGCAGACAAGGAAGAGGAAAAAAGGAGAGAGACAGAGAAGAAGAAGGTAATGTTGAGCTTATAGTATACACACTAACGTTATTGGTACATTAGTTTCACCTGTTGTTCTAATTGCTGGCGAGTCTTGGTGATTCTTTTTATCCCTGGTATGAGTTGTGCTTTTCAGTTCCAAAGATATGTGTGGCAGGAAAAGCATGTAAACAACATCCTAATAACCACAGTATGTCACCTTTTTTTTTTTCTCTGTCTGCAAAGCTGCAACAGTCAGTGCAAGAAGAGGGGGTTGCCAAAATCCTTCACGGTCTGCGCAAACCAGAGCTGGTTCAAGTACTTGACAGAGAGGAGCCAGCAATGCATCATGCTGAAGTTACAATAACAAAAACAACACCTGCCAAACAGAAGAGCACCACAATATCCCAATCTCAGACCACACCGTTAGTCAACCACAGTTCAAGCACAAACATCATCTCATCACATGGATATTCACCACCTCAGGCCACACCATTACTCGACCACAGTTCAGATACACACACCACTATATCACAAACACATTCACCAACTCATAACACACCTTCGCTCAACTACAGTTCACGCACACACACTGTTACATCACATACATACTCACCAATGCAGAACACACCATTACTCAACCACAGTTCATGCAGAAACACCATTCTGTCACATACATATTCACCAACTCAGAACTCATCAGCATTCAAACACAGCACTGGTAGGCACACCAACAAATCACACAAACATACACCACTAACTGACCACAATTCACACACAACTTTGCAGAGTGCATCTATCACTCCTCCCCAAAAAATTGACCTAGACACATACCCTACACCATTATCTCGTCACATGTCTCCGAAAAGCTTCACAGAATTGCTTAACCTGGTGGATGATGACTGTGAAAATGTGCCATTGGCAGACTCACCTCCTAAAACTCTACCTAAAACCATTGGCAATCCAAACTGGGAGTCATTTGCATCCCATTTCACTCATGAATTTGAGTGGTTGAAGGCAGAGGTGGATGGCCTGAGAAATGAGGTGAAACACCTGAGAAGGACAGTGAGGGAGCTAAAGGTAAATAGAGCTTTAGAAGTCAGAATCATCTGATGATCTCAAGTGAAACTTCGAACGATATGTTTGAGTTTCAGAATTTGCTGCAAGTAAAACAATTTTTGGAACAGTTTTGGCTATGGGGAAAAAGCAGGTTTGAGAAAACAAATTAGTAATAAATTAATAGCCATGTTTCAAAGGAAATTAATCTTAGAAACGTTCCTGTTTCTAGATTTTTTAAAAATTTTATTTTATGTAAAATGCATGGCAATCCACATTTTCTATTTTGGATTTCATTAAGTCTTGGTCGCTAACACCCAGCTTTTCCTCAAATTCACAACCTTCATATCTAAAATACCTTTGGGTTAGATGTTTACTTTAACTGAAGTCTGCATCACAACTGAAAATTATTACTAGTGAAGGAAATAATAGCTGGATAAAGATTGCTTTCAAGAGTTTTGAGTGTTTTGGGCTTTTAAACTCAATTTTCTATGACAAACTCATCAGTATTATGTTCTTTCAGCATATATTGATGCTCAGATGAAAACTTTTCTTTCATTTAGGCAAACCCAAGTTCTGTCCAGGTAAATGCCAGTCAACCACAACAGACTCAAGAGGTAATAAAAATGACACTTCTTGCCTGAAAAATGAAATACTGTAAGTCAATGCCCTTACAAAGTTCTTTTTCCTTTAGTTTGATATGGCAAATATGTTAAGAAAATTAATGCTTTAACTCCTGTAACAACTGGCATCTTTAAGAAATAATTGTATTTCCTAAATTATCTTTTTTCCCCTGCAGAACCAGTTGTTGGAAATGATTAGGAACACAACAAAACCCCTTGATGGATTGAAAGCTTTACTTTATGAACTCTTTACACCTGAGGAAGTAAGGCAATCATCCCTTAAGGGTAGGACAACTGTCACAGGAGGGGAAAGTGTTGGCCTTCAGAGGCAAAAGCTTGACCTTATCTACTGTAAGTTCTAGATTCATAATACAAACTATGATTAAACAAACCTGACTGCATAAAGAAGCCCTCCTTAATTAAAACAAAAAAATGTATTCAGCCTATTTTTAGTAAAATGTATGAAAAAGATGCACTTATTCCACTACACCAGTCATTCAATATAAAAGTGATTTCCCTATCCTGACTGCTATTTTTCCAATGAATGCCCTTTTCCTTGTAGCTGCTTAAGGCCTTGTCTGAGCTTGTAATATATTTATAATATACATATACACATATACTGTATATATAAATTTTTTTTAACTTCAGTTGTCATGGAATCCAGATACAAAATGGACAGGCTCCCTGTGGACAACCTTATTCGAGGCCAACAGAGAAAGCTGCGAGCCCAGAAACAAAAGACAAGCAGCAGCTAAGTCTGCAATTTAACTTCATTCCAATTTATTGTTGCAGTTCTAACAAGATTTCAATTCATAAATAAATTATTTAACTGTAATTAAATACCAATTTTATAATCATCCAACATTAAATGATTCATTGAAAGACTATTGACAGATAAATCAAGTTATTACATTTTATTTTAAAGAATCAACAGACTTCACCCACAATTTATGTCAAACCAAATTTAATGATTCATTAGGACTACTTTTTATGAATAGCCGTAATGGAAGATTATTTTTATTAAGTTTTAAAGAAAAAAAGAAAGAAAAAGAAATCAAATTTAATCCCAATGTTACTGTGTTGATGTCAACAAATACAATAGAAAATATGTTATGTGTAAACCTGATATAAGCATGTAAATAAATTTCATTGATTACAGAATTTTGAGTTGGAAGTTCATGCATGTCATTTATTTGCTTTATATTTAAGTTGCCTCAAATTTGTCCACGAAATTCCTAGAAATTTCTGGCAAGTTTTTAGATTTTACAGCCTTTCAGGAAAAATTATTGGTGCTCTTTAAGTTGGAATTCCTAGGAATTCCAAGTCCTGTTGGCTATTAACTTGAATTTCTGGGAATTTCTAGGTTTTTAGAACCAGAATTGCTACAGTTTGGAATTCCTAGGAATTCTTAAGATTTCCAAGTCCCTGTTGGCTAAAAAACTTGGAATTTCTGGGAATTTCTAGGTTTTTAGAGCCAGAATGGCTACAGTTTGGAATTCCTAGAATTCCTAGGAATTCTCGGTCCGAATTTACTGTGAAAATTCACACCTCTTGTTCCTAGGAATTCCTAGGAATTCTTAGGAATTCCCAGGAATTCCCAGGAATTCTTAGGAATTCCTAGGAATTCCTACCTAGGAATTCCTAGGAATTCCAAGTCCTGTTGGCTAAAAATCTTGGAATTTCTGGGAATTTCTGGGAATTTCTAGGTTTTTAGAGCCAGAATGGCTACAGTTTGGAATTCCTAGGAATTCCTAGGAATTCTCGGTCCGAATTTACCGTGAAAATTCACACCTCTTGTTCCTAGGAATTCCTAGGAATTCCTAGGAAAAAATTCCTAGGAATTCCTAGGATAATCCTAGGAATTCCTAGGAATTCCAAAATCCATTTCACAAGGGTCTCCTTGCCAGTATCACAGGAGATGTATAGAGAAATGGAGAATATAAATATGGATGTTATGCACAGCGTCGTTGATTAGGATATTTGTTTCTTTACACATGTTCTAAGCTCATGACAAGGAGAATTTGTTAACAGTCAAGAGTTTCTTTAGTTAGTGATCATTTCCTATATTCTCGTGACTGTAATATATGACTCAGGGGTGACATCGTAAGGAGAAATAAGGTGCTAGTCACTCATTGTTAACTTTGATGCAGGGTTGACCTTGTAAGTCATCCTTACATTCTTACAGTGAACAATGTTTAGTAACTGGACTGAATTTATGATAACTTTATAAGATTATGTTTCTTGTTATTTCAGGCCAACTGCTTTTCAGTAGAAGACAATGTCCTAAACATTTTTTGGCTCATGAAGATTGTCGAGACCCTAGAACAAACAGTAAGTATTTCACTTAAGGGCATAAAGTATTTTGTTAGGTCTTTCAAAAGTTACTTGTACATTTGAGGGGTTCAGATGAGGGTGTTTTAAGTAATACTGTTCAAAAATTCGATTTATACGAGCTCAAAATTTCAAATCCGCAGACAAACCTTTGTTAACCCTTTCACTGCCATGACCTCACTAGTAATTCTCATTACTGTCAGCCAAACAACATTTATGATGTTTGATCTGAGAATTTGGTATTGGATCAACTAATTAGTGTTTTTGTGTGGCTTACACAAAGTGTAAACTGCACTATGCCATTATCCAAGTTATTTATTTGATACCGGTAGTCTATTTGGGTTAATTCATCGCAACACTGATATACATGAAAAATTACACTCTTGATTGGCTGAAAACAGCTAGGTGCCTTCTCCATGTATCACTAGTGCAAAACTCAGTTACAAATGTAAATTAGGCTCAGCAACAATAGATCACACTGGAAACCAATCAGACTTATACAAAGGAGGTTGTGCTGATTGATGCACCCTTTAGCTGACCAAGATTAACAAAAGCATGGATAAATTTTAGCTATATTGAAAAACAATAACAAAACTGCATTCCTGAGTAAGATTTTAGCTGAAAGCAAATTTTGATAGTATGTCAAGTTGACCATTTACATGACGATGTCAAGTTTACCTAGTCATTTAATGTCTCTACATAGCTTGAATTTGAGAAACACACTGGCATGAAATTACAACTTCAATAATGAGAAAAGCTTAGAAACTCGGATACTTTAAATCATGATACTATTGTGCACCAGCTTACCTGTACATTGAACCCTGTTATATATATGTCATCATATCTCTGATTACTATTCCTGAAATCTATTATGGTGAAATTCTATCTATAATAAACTTTCTGTTAAATAAAACCTCCGGGTAAAATCGTAAATCTTATGGGGTTAAAAAATTATTAGCAGTGTCAGTGTAATGTACTACTCAACATAAGATTCATTAAAATATTGCTTGTGTTCTGATCTTGTTATACACCTATTTTTTCCCCCGAAATTCTTCCATTTGCAACCCCATATCTACCTACCTTAACTGAATTTTTCTGTGTTGTTTATTGAAAATACAATCAAACCCAAATAAAATAATTATAATAAATGAAAACCTATGCTTACATGTATGTATTGTCCAAAATTAGTCATACATTCAAACCAAATCAAGCTCCCAGTGGCTTCTAGTGTAGATTATATCATTTTCCTCATGTACTGGTACACAAAATTAAATGCCAAAAATATTCATGCGAAATGCTTTCCTAGAGTTAATTTCACATCACTTGCCTTGGAAGAGAAAATTAATCTACAAACTTCAGAACCCAATTCCACTTTGTTACGTAAAGAAATCATGACTGATTCTATCAGGTCATTGTGTGATATAATGGTGACGTTTTTTTCAGTACCTAAAATCTTCATGTTACAAGTGCAACCTTTGTTATCGAAATGAGACCTCCACAACAAAGTTTGGCAATTAACCCTCAACTTTAATGAACATTTCAGCACTATATTGTATGCTAGTTATCTTGTTTTTTGTTGATGAGCAGGAACAATATTGAAAACTATCTAACCGTAATCAGGTTATTAGCTAGAAGAAACTCATTATGACACCAGACACTAAAAGCAGTTCAATTGCGCGAGACACACATGTACGCATTGCGGACTTACTTTTCTTTATTCTCATCACTTGTCTGCTTGATGTTTTATTGATATTGTTAGGAGAAATTCTGTCTCGGTCACTCATGGCAGTCAAAGGGTTGAAGCAAAATAGAAGCAAACATTTAGAAAAGATTGCTCATTCCAATAATTATCGAAACAATGAGAAATACGAATTGAAATAATATCATTGGACAAAAAGATTAACCAAATATTTTAAAGTTTATACAACTGCAATTCGTTTCAAGGTGGCGAAAGGCACTTTTCCTAAACTCCTACCCGCTGTATTCGGAACGTGCAAAAAACAGTTTTCCTTCTTTGCGGCGGAGATTGACATTTTTGGTCTATTAGTTCATACTTTGGTCAATCTGTGTCTTTAAAGGAACCGTTTCAACTTGGTTTGCTGCCACTTGGAAAATTTGATGAACTAACGAATTCAAGAACGTTTCTTTTCCAATAGAACACTACAATACCCAACCAACTTAAAGTAAGCAAAGTTCCAATAGTACGCGACCATGGCCAATTTAATTTAGGAACTAAATTGTGAACACAAATTTCACATCGCCTGATGGTTGATGAGTAGAAGGGAAATATTCTAAATACTTTACATTTTGAATCTTCTAGTCATCTAAAACTCTTAAGTCAAAACAAGACAGACTCGCCTTTTTCAATTTTTATTTTGGTTACAGACGCAAATTTTCAGGCTACAGGCGAGTAAGTTGGCCAATCACATTGCATAACTAGTGATGGAACGCCGGTAGATTTTTACTAACATCTGTTGGTTAGTGCGTATCTTAACCCCTAAAACTTTTACAACATCAGTATGCATATTCTCCAGAGTGTTCTTTATACAATTCTTATGGCGCTCCTTCTGTCGGCAACCATTTCCTTTATTCTCGTGACCTTAATGTTTGATTTAGCACCGACAATGTTGGGAGAAATTAGCTGCTGGTCATTCTGAATGGTAAAAGGTAAAGGGATCTTAAGAACGACCTTAATCCAACGACACCAGAAGCGTCTCACAATCAAAGGTTGATATTCTTTGTTCTATTTTCAGAAATATTTTGTAGAGGATCATGGAACGTTTAACGTTATTAGTATCATCTTCTGGCTGATATTTCTCTCCCGCCGAAGCTGTGCTTTTTTACCGACAACTTTACGTGCTGAAGAATTTTCTGGAATATGGTACAGTGGTTGCGAATCAGATCCGAGTTTGATACGCAGAGAAATTTAGGTATGATAGTGCAGTAGACTATGAGCAGTCCGTTCTTTTCGATGTAGTTCGTGGCGCGAGTAAAAAAAAAAAAAGAAAAATGTCAGCGAGCCGAGCGGAACTCTGGTGTTTCTTTACAATTGCGCGACGAGCTTCGCCTAAAAGCCGGGACTGGTCGTAGTCATTAATGCAGTTTACTTTTCTTTTGATTTCTGCTCCAGTAAGTTTTCTTCGGCTATTTTTGTTGACAAGGCTTTTTTTTTTTTGGAGCATTAAGAATGAATAGCAAACGATCGTTTTGTACCATTTTTCCCTCAATTGTTCTTGTAGTTGTAATATTTGATAGCTTATAGTAAGAGTTTTGAGATACCCTAGAAGGTTTATCAATTACAAAGGCTTGCAGACGAGGAAAGAGGAATTATTCAGAGGTTTATCAGAGAGGACATATCGGAGTGGTAGTAATCAAAAACTTACTTCATTGTCTTAAAAGAAGTCCATGAAAATTAGCAATAATAATAATAATAATAATAATAATAATAAACAATCTTTAAGGAAGAAGCGCCTGTCACTTAAATACGTGGTTTTCAGGGAGGTCCTCCTAAAAATAAAAAGTATTAAAAGCTAAAATAAGAAATACAACTGTCACAGATCTAAAACGGCGTATATCTAAAGTTTTATCCATCATTTAAAGTATTTATCCATTAAGAATCTTGTAAGGTTTTCCTTAAAAATTGTGCATGGCATTAGCCTTCTTAAAAATACTGGGAGGGACATCCAGTCATTTATAAAACGGAAGTAGGACACCCTCTGTCCGCATTCCGTTTTAGGTTTAGGCACTCTAGGTAAGTAGCCATTTCTAGTGTTGTAGCCATGCGAACTTCTCAATGTCGATTTAAAACTTTCAAAATAATGCGGAATGTCTCCTTTGATTGCATTTTCTACGGTGGTACAACGACAAAACAGACGTCCTCCAATTAAAGGGAGCCAATTCAGACACTTCAGAGCTGAAAAAGATACAAGACAAAACCAAAAACAAAGCAAAACAAAACATATGCAGGCTGCATGTTAAATGAGTTGAAGAAGATTTGTTTTGTAACGCCCAAGAATGAGTGATAAACATTTAAATTACTGTCGTAGAGTAAATGATTAGGGACAGAAGGAATGAAAGGGCAAATTAGACGGGTGAACCTTCAAATCTCTAATGAATCATTGCCATCAATATTTTTTGTTGTCTCATAAATGTTGCAGATATTACATCAGAAAGCCAGTGGTTAAGAAGAAACTTTCCTCCAATTTTCCCCTTACAAGTCCCATAACATAACTACTGGAGAAGGTCACGGATTTTGTTTTAAAACAGCCATCACTTA